GTCTCTTTTTGGCAATTGACATGATCTTATTCAACCTTTTATAATTATTTCAGAAATATTTTCTATATATGTTTTTACTTTGTTCATGAGTTAGTAAAATCAATTCTATAATCCCTTTGCATAACAAGCCCAGTAGGAGAATGAGTTGAAGGCACAATGACCATAATACAATCAAATTTAGAATCAATTCCATTCCATCCACATATGCATCTTGCAGTCTTTGTTCTAACAGAGTTAATTTTTTCCTGCTTCAGTATTAGACATCTTGGATGTTTCAATCAGGATCTTTTTGTAATGTTTGAAACAAATTACTTAACTCATAAGTACTTAATCCAATCCAGCCACTTAATATCTTGAAAATAATTAAGAGTTTTCAATTGGTCGCTACTGATTTGTACCTTTTGTGGTTGAATTTTTGTTGACCTGTTTTGTAACTCAAATAGCTAAAAGAATCACTTCTTTGTATTTTTTTTGGAGCACTCTTTAACCCTCAGTATGGCAGAATATTTTGTCTTTCCTTAAACATTTTCTGTAAAGTATCTGTATCAGAATCAGCCAACAAAATATCATCCATGTAGTGACAAATGATAGATTGAGGAAATTGCCTAGGAATTATTTGTAATGGTTGTCACACAAATATTGACATAAAGTTGGACTATTTAACAGACCCTGTGGAAGTACCTTCCAATGGTATCATTTATTGGCTGACTGTTACTCAGAATAAATACTTAAAAGGTAAACCTTTTTCTATGCTGATCATGCGAGGTATTGTGAAAAAGCAATCTTTTAAGTCAATTATTATTATAGGCCATGACCTACGTAACAAAAAAGCTAAAAGAATTCCAGGCTGTTAAGGACCCATTGGTTGAATCACTCTATTTATTGCTCTTAAATCCATTATTATCACCACATCCACCTATTTACAATAAACAAAAAATTCTTGGGTTAAATGTACGTGCTAGGGTTGAGCCACAAAACAGTTACTTATTTACAATAAAATGAAATTTCTTGGGTCAAAGGTATGTGCTAGGGCTGAGCCACACCAACCAAGCAAGTTCACATCTTTTTCAAGTTCACAATCTCACTTCACAATGGGATAAAATATCCTGCAACACTGGACTGATGAACCATGCAGCTGAGTCAAGCTGACTCCTTCAGTCACTCTTGTTAAGCATGTAATTTTTCTCCACAAACTGCACTTGGTCTACCAACCCTCACAAGGAAACTATCTGCAGTTCACATCTGCTTGCAATGGAGAGAAAGATTGCTCCAGTGGAGTTTCACTGGATATAGAAAACACACCAAGGCTCCACTTCCGTCCATAAATAGCCAACACAAAATGAACACAATGGCATTTTTTGCAGCCTTTTGTCTCAAATTATTTTATTTGAACATTTTTATTTTCTGTTTGTATATTATGCTTTCTGATTTTGTGCTTTTATAGGTTTTATGTGTTTCTTGTGCTTTCTGTTTGTTTGTTTGTTTGTTTGTTTAAATTCTAGTTTGTTAGATTTTTGTGTTTGCTTATTTTTTTAAAGAGAGAGAGAGAAAGAAGTCATGGAATGGGGTGGGTGTAGAGGAGAAGAGAAGAGAGCTTGATTATGGCCCATGGTTTGTGAGGGTATTGTAGACCACAGGGGTAAGGATTGATGGCTGACTGTGTGATGAAATAGCATGTTACCCTGCATCTGTAGTCTAGAAACAGATGGAAGGGATGGGAAGAAGAGTCAGAGAACAATAGATAGATAGATAGATAGATAGATAGATAGATAGATAGATAGATAGATAGATAAAAGCTAGCATGTTGTTTCTCAGTTCACTTTCTCCTTTTTAACCAGTTCAGGATCCCAGTCTACAGGGAAGCATTATCACAGACAAACCAGAGGGGTATCCCCTCAGTGATTCTAAATCCAGTCAGATAAACAGAGAAAGCTACCTGTCCACATAAGGTTCTGCTTGATACCTATATTTGCATGTTTACCCACTCATAAATGAAAATACATTTGGGATAATATCTTTTCATAAACTATTTCCAAACTCTAGACCATACAGTCTATTTATCTGCTTCTGTGCATAGCTCTTAGATATGTTTTTAAGGATACTGAATATACGCATGCAGTAGAATGAAACAGAGTTCCTTCCTTTCTTCTGCATAAGAAATCAATTTTAAATAATCCAGCATCTGAAAAAAATTACTTCAAACTTTGAATATGGTTAAGGACACACAGAAATACTTGTCCATACATTGTCTAAGAAAGGACTTTCTGAATCATATTCCAGTACCTCAGCAAATCACAGAAAAATGTAGCATGTGGGATTGCACTGATATGGAAACTTCATGCAAAAGGAACATTTAACAGAGTAAAGGAACAACCTACTGAACAGAAGAAAATATTTACCAGCTATTAATCTGACAGGAGATTGCTATCCAAGTATGTAATGAATTCAGTGTTCCTAAACCCAAATAATTCAATCAATAAAATGGGCAAAGAAATTGAACCAATAGTTCTCAAAATAACTAGCCAATAAATATGTAAAAACTGTTCAACATCTGTTTCAATCAGAGAATGCAAATAAAAATGACACATTGATTCCATTTTACACCAGTCAGAATGGAGGGCATCAAGAAGACACCAACAAATTTGGTAAGGTTTCAAGGGAAAAGACTACTTATGTGCTGTGGATGAAACTGTACTTCACATATTATCACTGGAGATTTACTTGAAAGACTTAAGTCAGTCTACAACAGACATGCACACTCGTGTTCACAGAGCCCCTGTGTACAAAGACCAAGCTATAGAGATGAAGGGATAGAGCAAATGTGGCATTTTGCATGGTAGAGTCTTTTCAAGGATAAATAGGGAAGTTGTGTCTTTTTTTTTTTTTTTTTTTTGAGGCCCCAGAGCTGTTTAATAGCCTCTTGAAACCAGCAAGACATTTTGGGCAATTGGGTTTAAGGTAAATATATAAGGAATGAAGAGCGTAAAACAAACCTCCATATAGCAGGCTCAGATAACAAAATGTTACCTAAGACCATGATTAGTAGGTGTCAGGGCTGTGCATCATGCTGCATGGCTGGCTTGCCTTCTATCAGCCCAGGGCCACAGGAGAAAATTGGAAGTTGTGTCTTTTGCAGAAAACGGATGCAACTGGATATATATAATCCTATCTTCAAAATTAATTCAGTCTGAGAAAAAGGTTAACAAAGGGTTGAAGGTGACCTCAATACATAACATATTTACCTGAAAACTCAAATCTTCATAAAGCAAATATCTACACATCCACATTTATTCACAAGTTATACTGAGCCCTGTTATACCATACAATGACTATGTTAATAAAAATTAATAAAATAATGAAACAAGTATTTGAAAAAAGAAATAATATTTCTTATACTTACTGACATTGTCATTTCCTATAAGCTAATTCAGTAACTCCCAAATTGTAATACACATCATATTCATGCATGTATACATATTCAATTGTTATGTCTCCCAGGAGAATCATCTCTAAGGCAGTATGTGGTTTAAAACAGAGAACAACTTGTTTGAGGAAAACTAGACTCTCATAACTGACGAAACAGGGATTGTACTGTTCTTAGAACAAGCTTCCTGGGAATCATGCAGAGCTGAGAACAAGTGGGATACAGGTTGCACAGCACTGAGACTAAACTGGTAGGATTGACGGTGTCTAGCTTTCAAACAAGAAAGCTGAAAACATCTATAGAACAAAGTGGCCAAAGGACCCGGCATTGTATTGATGATACACAATTATGACAGACACCGACTGACAAGGAGAGAGAAGCTCTAACCACTTAGGGTAGGCACATGTACAAAGCCAGGTACGTCTTCCAGCCAGATTTTATCAGTTGGGCAGCCCATCCTCTAGGACCTTTCGTTTAGCTCACTAAGGAAGAGGGATGAAGATTCCTTAACTCATCCAAGATTTTGTTTATGAAGAAAGAATCATTTGAATATTTGGCCATAGTAAATGTGAAATCCCCACCTGATACATTAAAGGTATGTGTGATTTTCAAGGTTGGAATTTATATTTTTTTATGTGCAGTAAGATCGCCTAGAAGAAATATTAAAAATAGCCAATAAGTTTTCTATGTTGTTTTCATTTATTTTACACCCCACACGGGGTTCATTTATTTCAGTGGAAATGTGCATAGAAAAAAAGCAATGGTGTGAAATAAATGGAAAGCATATGGAATACCACAAGACAGAGCACATGAGTAATAATGGCAGGCTTGGATTGTCAGTGTCAAATGACCCCAGGATTGACTTCCAGGCTCCACCACCTGTTTGGAATGAACATAAAAAAATCATAATATGTGAACTCTGTTTACTGCCCAGGACTGTATGAGAAACCAATGTGGAAATGGCAAGCCCAGGAGAATTTCTCCTGACCACAGTATTTTATGGAACACTGATATTTCTAAAGTTCTGTGCCTCAGGGTGGGAAAAAGCAACAGAAATGGTCAAGCTGTAGGTGAACCCCCATTCCCTACAGTACACACCCAGCTCTCAGCCCCAGAGAGCTTGATGGAAATCCTTCTTTCCATGGACACCTCCACCATAATCACTGTTTCCCAGGTGCCATTATCTAACCCAGAAGAAAAACATCTAAACACTAGCTGGCATAACAGAATCTTATTCAGTGGCTCTAAGAAGACAGCAATCACTTTACAGAACAATTCATTAAGGAATCGGTCTACATGGAGGGGGTATATGAGCAAACAAGAAATCAACTGTGGAAGCAAGTAACACAGCTGAAACATGTATTGTTCCTTTTTCATGCAGCCCCTTCCTAACTAGTTCAGCCTTAAAGGCACACTCTGTTTTGTCCTCTGACATCCTTGCATGACATTCCATTCAGCATTCAGCTTGTTTTTAGCCAGACTATCAACATATTTTCAACTGGCCGGTCACGGCACTAGGACTTGGAGTCTCGTGCCCTGAAGGGTGGCACAGGGGAAAAGCAAAATCTTCTTTGAAATGGGGAATTACAAATCCAGACTAACACAGATTTGCTCTGGTAACTCTTCTGACTTCCATCGTGTTTTCCTAACTAGTTTTCTAACATGTGACATGAGTGAATTGTAAGTACAGATGAGTAACAACTCATTGAGATGTATGCTGATTCGAATACAGAGAATACGAAGTGTTGCATTTATTAGAACTTACTATTTTTCTCTGAAAGAGTTTTCAAAAAAAAAAACAGAAAATTTCTTGTAAAAAATATTAGTTTAGTCTTTGGTATTATATGGTAGAAAGTTTGGAGTACTGTTGAATATAGAGATTTTAAAATTATATCTTAAGTATTTAGTATTTAAATGTTAAAACACACTGTCTAGCAACTAGAGTTTGCTGCAATTAAAATGCAATAAAATCAAATGAAATAAGTCAAATATATTCTTTTATGTAAATATATTGTACAATATCAAATAGGTTCTTAATTACTACAATCCCAAAGTGATTGCATTATAGACATAAACATCTGCATTAAACCCACAATCAGTCATTTAAATTAAGTATTGTAGAATTGAGAATAAAAAAAAAACAGAGTTTTAATTACTTGTATGTTATGATCTGTGTCTACATTTTGCAAAACGCAATTGTGAATCAATCCTATTTGTTTTCTTTTCCAGATGAATGGAAGAAGAAAGTTAGTGAATCTTATGCTATTATAATAGAAAGACTGGAAGACAACATGCAGATCAAAGAAAATGAATCTGTAGAACTAAGGCACATCTTTGGGTAAAGTCAACATTTTTACCTTTTTAAGTATGAGTCTTCATTATTTTGTTTTTAGGTATGTTGTGTTTATATATAAACATAAAACTTATCCTAGACCATTTGTAAATAGTCTCGGGTAAGTCTTAGCTATCACCAGACTACATTGTAGAATGCCAGGTTATCTGTTCATAAGTAGTCAAATGGCTCCCAAACTGGAAAGATTACACCTCTGTAAAGGATAACCTAGATTCTGTCCTCACAGAAGTTGAAGGAGTGGAGCTTTGGGGATAGGCCCCTGAATGCAAGCTGTCACTGCTCCAAGAAACCTGCTCTGGAATTAATCACCAACTCCCCTACCCTGTACCACAAAAAAGCAGAACTGCTCATATCCCAGGGTGGTTTATACTAGCCTGGAGACTCTCTGGAAGGCTAAGAGAAGTTCTATCAAACCTCTCAGTCTGTCCTGAGGCTGTCCTGCAGTGGGACTGAGTATCATTTTGCCCTCATGCACCTAATATGTGTGATATCAGCTTCTGTTCCATAATAAAAAGAAAAATGAAACATATCCTGGTTTGGGACAGTGTCACAACCTTGTGAAACACATGCTGTTTAGAAAGGAGGGCAGGACTCCAATGTGTACCAACAACCTGCTGTAGAGATTGAATCAGACACTGACAAACTCCATGCTTCATACAACAAGCTGCCCAACTCTCCTGGTCAGGGTTACTATTGCTGTGATGAAAAGAGGGGAGGGAAGGGTTTATCTTACATACTTCTTCATTTCACTGTTTACCATCAAAGGAAGTCAGGACAGGAACTCAACAGGGCAGGAACCTGGAGGCAGGAGCTGATGTGGAAGACATAAAGGAGTGTTCCTTTTTGGCTTATTCTCTATGGCTTGCTCAGTCTGCTTTCTTGTAGAACCCAGGACCACCTGCCCGGATGTAGAACCACCCACAATGAACTGGACCCTTCCTCATCAATATCTTAAAAAAAAAAACTGCATGGTACTGGCATAGAAACAGAATGGTGGATCAATGGAATCGAATAGAAGACCCTGGCATAAATCCACACACTTACAGACACCTGATTTTTGACAAAGATGCCAAATCCATTAAATGGAAAAATAAAAGCATCTTCAACAAATGGTGCTGGTCTAACTGGATGTCTACATGTATAAAAATGAAAATAGATCCATACTTGTCATCCTGCACAAAACTAAAGACCAAGTGGATCAAAGACCTCAACATAAAACCAGACACACTAAACCACTTAGAAGAAAAAGTGGGGAAGAGCCTTGAACTCATTGGCACAGAAGACAACTTCCTGAACAGAACACCAACAGCACAGGCTCTAAGAGCAACAATCAATAAATGGGACCTCACGAAACTGAAAAGCCTCTGTAAAGCAAAGAACACTGTCCTCAGAGCAAAACGACAGCCTACAGCTTGGGAAAGGATCTTCACCAACCCTATATCTGACAGAGGGCTAATATCCACTATATATAAAGAACAAAAGAAGTTAAACAGCAAAAAAATCAAGTAATCCAATTAAAAAATGGGGTACAGAGCTAAAAAGAGAATTCTCTGCAGAAGAATATCAAATGGCAGAGAAACACTTAAAGAAATGCTCAACCTCATTAGCCATCAGGGAAATGCAAATTAAAACGACCCTAAGATTTCACCTTACACCCATCAGAATGGCTAAAATCAAAAACTCAAGAGACAACACATGCTGGAGAGGTGGAGAAAGGGGAACCCTCCTCCACTGCTGGTGGGAATGTAAACTTGCACAACCACTTTGGAAAGCAATCTGGCGCCTTCTCAGACAGCTAGGAATAGTGCTTCCTCAAGATCCAGCTATACCACTCCTAGGCATATATCCAAAAGATTCTCAAGTACACAATAAGGACATTTGCTCAACCATGTTTGTAGCAGCCTTATTTGTAATAGCCAGAAGCTGGAAGTAGCCCAGATGCCCCTCAGTGGAGGAATGGATGCACAAATTGTGGTATATCTACACAGTGGAATATTACTCAGCAATAAAAAACAAGGAAATCATGAAATTTGCAGGTAAATGGTGGGGTCTGAAAAAGATCATCCTGAGTGAGCTATCCCAGAAGCAGAAAGATACACACGGTGTATACTCATTCATATAGACATATAATATAGGATAAGCCTACTAAAATCTGTACACCTAAAGAAACTAATCAAGAGGGAGGACTCTTGCTAAAATGCTCAATTCCTATACAGAAAGGCAAAGAGGATGGACATCAGAAGAAGGAGAAAACAGGAAACAAGTCAGGAGCCTGACACAGAGGACCTCTGAAAAGCTCTCTGCCCTGCAGGCTATCAATGCAGATGCTGAGACTTATGGGCAACCTTTGGGCAGAGTGCAGGGAATCTTAGGAAAGAAGTGGGAAACAGTAAGATCTGGAGAGGACAGGAACTCCACAAGGAGAGCAACAAAACCAAAAAATCAGAGCATAGGGGTCTTTCCTGATATTGATACTGCAACCAAGGACTATGCATGAAGATAACCTAAGACCCCTGCACAGATGTAGCCCATGGCAGTTCAGTATCCAAGTGGGTTCCATTGTAATAGGAACAGGACTGTCTCTGACATGAACTGATTGGCCTGCTCTTTAATTACCTCCCCCTGAGGGGGAAGCAGCATTACCAGGCCACAGAAGAAGACAATGCAGCCACTCCTGATGAGACCTAATTGACTAGGATCAGAAGGAAGGAAAGAAGACCTCCCCTATCAGTGGACTTGGGGAGGAGCATGCATGCAGAGGGTGGAGGAAGGGAGGGTTTGGGACGGGAGGAGGGAGAGAACCACAGGGGAGATACAAAGTGAATAAAGTGTAATTAATAAAGAAAAAAATGTAAAAAAAAATAAAAATAAAACATAAGACATAAAAAAAGTTAAAGAGGCTGAGAGTAATGAAGGCCGTATTCAAATACAGGAAAATATTAAATTAATATATATTAGTACTGAGGATTATAATATTCATTTTATCATAGTTTGAGTAAAACTTAATAAAACTCATAGCTGGAAAAAAAAAACAAAAAACAAAAAAAAAAACGCCATACAACAGTGGTTCTCAACCTGTGGGTTCTGACCCCTTTGGGGGAGTAACAATTATTTCATAGAGATCACTTAAGACCATTGGAAACATGGATGTTGTTGTAAGTAAAAAGGGTGCTGAGCTATGTATTATTAGCCCTATAATTATTGTGGAGGTATTATTTAACCTGCTACCACAAATAATAAGACACAGACATTTGTTAGATTTTCTAATTATCTCAATAACCTCATTAGCCATCTCCCAGCCTCCATCCAATGCTATCCACATTAATCCTCCTCACCTGATCTACCTTCCATACATAATCCCAAGATACTTGCTTGTATTCTTCATCTGGGCCTTTTCACACCATTAATGGAGTCCTTCCTCCAGGCCTGCATGGTTTCTTCTCCATGCTAAACCATTGTGGCCTCCTCCTTCCTCCTCTCTTCCTGTCCGTATCTCCTGTGATTCTTTTTTTTTTTTTTTTGAGAAATTTATTTTGTCGTAATACTTTTCAAGTGGTTGCCATGAGATAACTAGTGCCCAAATCTTTGCTATTATTAAACCATCATATTTTTTAATTTAATTTTATTTTATTAATTACACTTTATTCACTTTGTATCCTCCCATAAATCCCTCCCTCCTCCCCTCCTGGTCCCATCCTCCCCTCCCCCTTCTTCATGTATGCCTCTCCCCAAGTCCACTGATAGGGGAGGTCCCCCTCTCCTTCCTTCTGATCTTAGTCCACCAGATCTCATCAGGAATGGCTGCATTGTCATCTTCTGTGGCCTGGTAAGGCTGCTCCCCCCTCAGGGGGAGGTGATCAAAGAGCAGGCCAATCAGATTCTGTCAGAGGCAGTCCCTCTTCCCTTTACTATGTAACCCTCTTGGACACTAAACTGCTATGGGGTACATCTGTGCAGGGGTTCTAGGTTATTTCCATGCCTGGTACTTGGTTGGAGTATGAGTCTCTGAAGCCTGGGAACTTTAGCCATGCCTACCCCATTCTGCCCTGCACATGTATAGGCCTTTAATCAACCAATCAGGTATAATGTCTTAGGTGGGTTTACACACCAAGGATAGGTGTATCCAGGAAGTAACCAGATCTTGAAGGCCAGTAATTAGCATTAAAATAAAGCATCAGAACAGCACCCAACACAGAGATATTCACATTATAATTCATAATAGTAGCAAAATTGCAGTTAAGCAGCAACAAAACTAATTTTATGGATGGGGACACCGCATGAGGAACTGTATTAAAGGGACACAGTATTAAGAAGGTTGAGAACCGCTGCCCTGCAGGCTTGCCCACAGTACACTCTTTTTTTTTTTAATAGTGTAAAGATTTTTTTTTCTTTTGTTCTACAGTACACTCTTATTACAGCATTTTCTCACTTGAGGCTCCCTCCTCTCCAGTGACTCTAGCTTGTGTCAAGTTGACAGAAAACCAGCTAGTGCTGTAACAACCAAGGAGAAGTTAGGCGTGGGCCAATTGTCCATCATCATTTCAGCTGTCATTCACGTATTGCATGCCTAATACTGAGCATCATTGATTTCACATGGAAAACAAGACTCTAGTAATACACAAATTCTGTGTGTCTTAAAAGAAATTTCAGGTATAGTTAAGTGTATGAATGTAACATGGCTGGGAAACAGTGTCACCCACTTAACCTAAATTAATCTGAACTTCATCAACAAAACTAATTGGTCTCCTCATGTCTTCAGTTGAAGTTTGGGAGGAGAGGCCACTGAGGCATTTCTTGTTGACACAGTACCACGTGATGCTCAGGTGCTAGGAAGCACCTGAAGTTGTCTCTGAGATGTGAATGGGCAATTTGCAATAGTTCCTTCATATCCATCTTTCATTATGAGCATTAAAGAGGAAAAATGGTAGCATAACTTAGTCATAAGTCATCCATCCCTTATTGATTCCAGTTAGTATACTGACTAA